ACACAGACCCAGTGATGGAGCTGGATTCTGCTTGGATTCAGGGTGTAGTTAGGAGGAGCATCCATCCTCTGCCCAGGGTGTCCTGTGGTGGTTTCTGTGCCATGGTACTGATTCACCCCTCACCAGCAGCACCCGGGTTGATGGTGTGTGTTGGTGTAGCTGCATCCCTTGGATTTCTGTAATTAAAAGGTATTCCCACCTCAAGCAGCCGGGCAGCTCTCCAGGCTCCTGAATCACCCCAAACCCCCATGAACTGGGTGAGTACGGTAGCACCGTACTGGTGCTTGTCTGGCGCATCCTGCCCTTGGGAGCTGCTCCTCTCAAAGCAGGAGGAGCTGGAATAGCCCCAGCCCGTGCAAGAGGGAAGGTCACCCTGGTTGCTTTCAGTGGTCTCTGAATCATAAATGATTTAACCAAGGTCGTGCACTGACTTTGGGGATGAGCCAGGCATGAAAACCCAGCGCTGCTGCCCTGTCTCTTGCAGAAGCAGCACATCAAGGGCCTCAGACTTTGGGGTTGGAGTCTCTTGGAAGCAGAGGATTAACCCTGGAGCAGACCCACAGCCACAGATCCCAAGAGATCCCATCCTCTCCTTTCCCAAAGCAGATCACCCAAACACCGGGGCTGGTTGCTCCATGTGGAAAAACCTTTGGTGGACCCCCAAAACCCCTTCATTCCCCATCAGAGCGGCGAGGCTTGAGTGTGAGAGCTGACATGGAGCCGGTAGGAGGCAATTTTTAGCAGTGGCGTTATGCAACTCGGGAGAAGGGATGACTAATGTGCAAAAAGCTCCTCTAAACCAGCCCAGCCCCGAATGGGAGACGGAGGGATTTCAGTGGGAGGCACCAAACTGTTGAGAAACCCATCGCATCTTGTCCCTCTTCCTCCCCGCCGCCTTCTGAGCAAGTGATTTGGGGGATGCAGGAGGGGGAAAACAGCATGTTGGTATTTTTAGGTGGGGTCTGGGTTGGTTTTGGGGGCGACTTGGCAGCGGTTAATCCCCTCTTGCCTAGCACTCTATGAGGAGCTGGAGCGGAACAGAAGAGCAGACCACTAAATAACTCTGGAGCTCAGGGTTTTATCTCAAACAGCGGCCAAAATTGGCTGCCTAGAGAATAGGATAAGAATAGAGCAAGAATATACGATACTTCCCCCGAATATCCTCCCAGCCACTTATCTATGTTTAGGGATCTGGCAAGGAACACGCGTTCCAGCTAAGGGGAAAAGCAGGGAGAGAAAGGAAGGGTGCTTGATTTATGCCCAAGTCCTAAAATGGCATTTAACCCCCCCTGAAAATCAACTGGTGTGCAGTGACTGTCAGGGCAGTGAGCTCACCAGCCTGGAGAAGAGGCTTTCCCATGGGATGGAGGGAGTGTGTTGGGTCTGATCTGCTGGTTTATTCCCAGTGGGATGCTGTGATTGAGTAGGAACATGCAGATAAAGCATGGTGAACACCATATATATAGCATGGTGCCAGGTTGGACACAGGGGCTTGGAGCAAGCTGCTCTAGTGGAAGGTGTCCCTGCCCGTGGCAGGGGTTGGAACTGGATGAGCTTTAAGGTCCCTTCCAACTCAAACCAGTCTGATTGTATGATCTATATGTGCCCTTTGCCTATGTATAGTGTAATGCACAGCAGTGTGGTACCAGGGGGAGTTTTAGTGCCCTGTAGTCCTCTTCCCACCATGGCCGCAGATGCACGTGATGCTCAACAGCAGGATCAGAGATGCTTCATTGGGATGATGCTGGTGTTGCTGCCCTGAGGCTGAGTCCTTGCATCCCTCTCTGTGTGTGTCTGCTGAGCCCAGCTGCATTAGAACAAAGATCCAGCCCCAGTGCAGAGAGCAGTGGTGCAAGGAGTAACACCAGAGCAGCCTCGTCCTGTGGATTTGGAGGGATTTGGGGATGGTTTCCCCCTTCAACAGCAGCTTTTCCCTTCTCTCTTCCTCCTGGAAGGCTCCGGAGCCCAGGTGCTGCGTGGAGGCCGTGCTGCCATCCCGGGTTACATGCATGTTATTGGTGCAACAACTGCTCTGTTTCTCAGGAGATGCCTGAAGGAGCTGAGGAAACAGAAAGGGCTGTCAGGGAGCCGGGCGGGAGGTGAAGATGTCAAGAGAGTAATTGCTCTACCCAGAAGCAGCCTGGTTCTGGCTTCCCCAGCTCTGCCAGGAAAAATCCTCCGTGCTTATTTGACGACAATAAAACCCGATGTAGAATAAATAGCAACCCCATCCCTTGCCCATGCTGACGAGGAACAGGGAGAGCAGAGGCAGATGCAAAATAAGATGCAGTTGAGCTTATAAATAGGTGCCTCCCAGCTCCCAGTCTCTTACTTAACCTGGAGCAGACGCAGCCACAGATCCCAAGAGATCCCATCCTCTCCTTTCCCCCCATGGGGCTCCCAGAGCAGCTCATCCAAACACTGGAGCTGGTTGCCTGGTGTGGAAAACCATAAGGCCAGGTTGGAAGGGACTTTGTGCCCCAGCCTCCACTAGGGATGGGATTCTTATGCTTTTCCCCCATGGGAAGGTATATGGAGGCTTGGAAAATGTTTTGCTAACTGCTGGGGAGTGGATCATGCTCTTCCCCTCATGTGGGATGGGCTGGGGCAGGGAATATGTCCTGGTGGCCATGGAACATATAATCCTTTGGCTTTCTGTGGGGACAGAATCAGCCCAATGGCAGCACCGCGCCAACACAAGGCTGGGGACCAGCCCTTGGCTGGTGCAGAGGATGCCCAAGGTGAGAGGTGGCTTTGTAGATGTGCAGACCCCCAGGGTAGCATCTCTGGTCCTCACAGATGCAGGTGGCCACTGGCTTTTGTTCCATGATCCTGACATCCTCCATTGTTATGTGGTCCATGGGGATGGGCACTGTGGGAGATGCAGATGTGGGCTGGGAGGTGTTTAACTCCAACCTATGGGGAACACAGTGGGATGCTCTGCCCCATGAGGCACTGCTGGCTCTACCAACCCCTCCTGTGTCAGTCGTGGAAGGAAATGGACCTGAAAAGTGTCCTGGTGTGGCCCAGGGAAGCCTTGGAGAGGCAATGATGGGGGCCAAACCTTGCAGGAGTGTTTTGGCTTTTGGTGATTCCTCTTTCAGCAGCTCCTGAGCCTCTTGTCTGCAAACAATGTGGGGGGAAAGAAAAAGAAGGCAAAACCAGAAGCAAGTGCATTGGCAAAGCAAGAGGAGTTAATGTAGGACCTACCCAAACATTGTGCTGCAGCAGCTGGAGGCTGGCAGCCTGTGAATGCAGCACTTGAGGGTGTTTGGAGAGATGCTTCGCAGGGGAAAGTGGGACTGTGTGAAACCCAGCAGTGTGTGCCTGCACCCCCAGAGTGAGCACAGGGCAGGGAGGGGATCCTGCCCCTCTGCTGCGCTCTGGGGAGACCCCCCCTGCAGTCCTGATCCAGCTCTGGGGCAGCAGCACAAGAGGGACATGGAGCTGTTGGAGCGAGGCCAGAGGAGGCCATGGAGATGCTGCGAGGGCTGGAGCAGCTCTGCTCTGGAGCCAGGCTGAGAGAGCTGGGCTGGGGCAGCCTGGAGAAGAGAAGGCTCCTGAAGGGGAGACCTTAGAGCAGCTCCAGTGCCTAAAGGGGCTGCAGGGAACCTGGAGAGGGGCTTGGGACAAGGGCCTGTAGGGACAGGCCAAGGGGAATGGCTTGAACCTGAGGAAGGTTCTGTGCACTGCGAGGATGCTCTCAGGGCTGGAACCTGCCGCTGGAGCTGGATGAGCAATAAGCTGAGGCAGGAGGGCGGTTTTCCCGTGGTGGCTTTGTCTGGGGGGCAGTGATTTAACAACGAGGAGAACAGAATCTCTCTGCTGTTGTTATTTATTTTTAGTGGTGCTAATTTTCTCCGGGGCTCGGAAGCTGCTTTCCAAGGCAGGTCCCTGGGGGCTGAGGGCAGCAGGGCTCGAGCTCACACACAAAATGGCTTTGAACGGGGAGGAGATGGGAGTTAAAAGCCGAGCCGTGTCCCTGGGAGATCAATCAACCTGAGGGGGAGTGTTTCGAGCAGGCCACGAGCTCTGCCAAGAGCTTTTAGCTGCTCACAGAAGTGATTGAACCAGGAGTGGGGAGGTTTCGCAGCAGCCGCTTTGTACTGGTCCTTATACTGCTGCTGGGGGATGGTGATGGGTCTCCCAGACCAGCCCTTTTGGCAGCTCTGTATGTGTGGACCTCTCCTGCAAGCCTTGGGATTGAGGGACTTTAATCCCAAAGGCTTTTTCCTGGATGTGTGGCTTTGCAAAGCCTCTGCATCTGAATGCTGCTCGTCCAAGCTGCGCAGTGATGCTCAATAGGTGATGAGGCCTCTCTTTTGGGGAAAATGAGATGCTTTTGGAGCTGTGTTTGGTGTTCAGGGGGGAAAGCTGGGTCAAAGCCCTGCTCAGGAGCTGGCGGGGAGGGGTTGCACCCAAATCCTTGGGTAGAAAGGGCAGCTCCGTGCCTAATCGGGTGGATCAGGCACTGTCTCCCTGTCTGATGGCCCCTCGCCTGGAAGCTGGGTCCTGGCACATGGGGAGAGGCAGTGTTGTGACTCAGAGCTCCAATCAGTGGTAATTAATTCAATGACAACGAATGAGAGGGACAAGGAAAAACACTGGGATATTAATGCACCAGGCTTGGCTTTGGGACATCTGGCTAAGGAAGTTTTTGTCAAGAGCAGCTTTCTGCAGGAGGGGGCTGCAGCAGGGACAGCTTCTTTCCTCTGCCCATCATTTTTACCCCAGGATCATCCTGACTCCACGTTGTTTCCCAAGTTTCCATCTCTGGGTCCTTTCTGAGGCTTTGTAAAACATTTTTCCCGATTTACTGAGGGAACAGCAGCATTTTATCCCTCCGGAGAAGACCATTTCACTTTGTAGCTACCCTGGTTTCTTCACCCTGCGATGTTTGGTCCCCTGGAAGCTCAATCTCGCTCTCCCTGTCCTGTTTCTCCACAAGAGCTGATGAAAGCAGTGTCTAATGTGTTTAATCCTTGTGTCTTTAATTGCAGATACCTGCCAAGACGTCCTCTCTTCCAGTTACCCCCAGGGTGAGGTGGTCACCTTCTCCTGAGCTCTGGCTGGATGCAGGCAGCACCTCGGTGAGGGATGCTGTCCCTGAGGGATGCTCTCCCCAAGGGATGCTTTCTCCAAGGCAGAGGGATGCATACCCTGAGGGATGCATTCCCCAAGGTGGTGGGATGCTGTCCCTGAGGATGAGGGATGCTTTGCCCAAGGGATGCATTCCCCAAGGCCAAGGGATCCATTTCCCAAGGCTCTGGGATGCTCCCTCTGAGGCCAATGGATGCTCTTCCCAAGGCTGAGCAATGCATTCCCTGAGGGATGCTCTCCCGGTGGCCAAGGGATGCATTCCCCAAGGGTGATGCTCTCACCAATGCTGAGGGATGCTCTCCCCAAGGGAGATGCTCTCTCCAAGGACAAGGGATGCATTCTCCAAGGGAGCTGCTCTCCCTGAGGCTGAGGGATGCATTCCCCAAAGGAAATGCTCTCCCCAAGACTAAGGGATGCTCTCCCCAAGGAAGATGCTCTACCTGAGGCCAAGAGATGCTCTCCCCAAGGCCGGGACATGCATGCCCCCAGGGATGCTCTCCCAGAGGAGCTTTCCTTGCCCACCACAGAAGTCCAAAGCTCCAGCCACCAGCTCTGTGGCCGGGCCAGGGGGTCCCCCACCAAGAGGTGCTGCAGAGCCATGGGACCAGGTCGGGGTGCTGGGGGTGGCCTCGCTCCCCTGCCTGCTGCCAGCCCTGCCACATACACGCTGCCCATGTCCCCAGTGCACCCCCAGGCTGCCCCCTGCCCCTTGCCCATTGCTTTCGGATGCACCTCGCTCCTCCGGCTCCAGAGCCTCACTGGGACATCACCATCCACGCTCTGACCCCTCCATTGTCACAGAGCTGCTGGGGACCCTTCTCTGGGGCTTCGAAGGCTCCGTTTGAGGTGCCATGAGCAGGTGGCTGCCCCATCACTCCCTTCCCATGGGTGCTCACCCCAAGGTGCAGATCCCAGAGGATGATGGGGACAAGCGGGTGAGCTGGGGCACAGGGATGGGGATGGGGAGCGATCGGTGGTTGAGGTGGGGTGAACCCGGCTGGCCTGGAAGGGTCAGTGTCTTTCTAATGCTGTTACATATCTCTGTGATCAAGGCAATACTACTCCCGTTTGTCTGTCCTGTTCGCATGCCTCTACCTGTCCAACCGTACTAGAGTTCAAATAAAGACATCCGCGAGCTGAGTCAGCTCCTGTACCCCTCCTGCTGATGTGTTTCCTCCCCATCAGCATCCTTTGTGCCCACAAAGCCCTGTCCCAACGCTGGGATGTCCCTGGCAATGGGAATGGTGATTTCAGCAGCCGCGTTGCCTGAATGTTGTAGCCAAGCTCCTCACTTTATTGCACATCTTGGAGCAGAGCCCACTGGAAAGCCCACAGCAGACTGGTTTCACCATCCACACAATATTCATTTGTTGAAGGAGAGGCTCTGCAGAGCTGACAAATGCATTGGCTCTGCCCGCTGTGACTATCAAAGATGAAATAATCAGCATTATGGCTGCAGCGGTGCCATCCTTAGGGTTCAGGGTGAACAGCGCATTGAGGTGAATGGGCTGGTTCTACTCTGGCCACAGAGCCAAGCAGATGGCACTAAGCTGATCCATGGGTTACTATTTCACTCCAGTTTGGGGCTGGGATGCTCCTGGTGTCATCTTTTGACCAGCTCTGAGAGTCACACCATCAGCACCAGAGAGCCAAGGAGATCTGGAGCATCTCCAGTGCTCCAACCCACTGCTGCAGTGAGTTGGAGGGACCTCAGCTGACACCTCCGGGATGGAGATTTTGGGGCTTAACCTGTTGACAGCAACAAGGGCACGAGGTCTTTTATTGGAGATCAGGAGAGGTTGGGATGGTTAAAACCAGGGGAGGGAACTGAGAAGCTGCCAGGGAACTGCAAAGAAAGCAGTCACAAATGTGAGCAATCAGTGGCTGAGGGCCAAAGAGCAATTAAAGCAAGAGGCCAGGAGCGAGATGCTCTGCCTCCCACTGTGGCTGCAGAGAGCCCTCATGAGAGCCCCACGGTGCTTCTCTGACGTGGTTGTGGTCATGGATGTACCCTTGGATCCTGGCTGGCCAGGGATGCTCTGTCAAGTGATGCTGAACACCTGCATCCCCCCAGGGTCAGGCTCATGCAGCATTTGGGGACTGCAGGTGCTTGGAGCACCTTGGGGGTGCTCAGGACCTGCCAGGCTGCATGAGGGGGGAACTCAAGGGAACCAGAAGTTCTTTGGGAACTTTTAGGGACAAAGTGGTTGGTACAAAGCTGGATGGAGATGGCTCCTTTAGCAGGACAAGGTCCCTTCTCCATCCTGGACACAACCTCTTCCCATCACTGTTTTGTACCACACTGACCCCTGGACCAAAACTGATCAGGAGGATCAAACTGGTGGCTCAGGGACCCCAGGGATCCCCCATCTTTCCATGGAGCCCTTCTCCTTCCTTCTCCCTCTTTGCCTGTTGGCTTGGTGAGGGAGTTAAGTGCCTTCACACCCAACCCTGGGGCAATAGGGCGAGAGTATTTACAGCCACAGCCTGGATGTGGGGCAGGAGGGGGAGTGTGAAGTGCTACCAAACCTTTCTGAAGCTGCATGGAGGTGGATGTGAGCCTTCACCCCACAACGCTGCGGTGGGGTTTGAGTGCAGAAACGGGGTGAAGCTCCCATCCCAAACCCCCTCAGGTGGTGCAGAGCTTCCCTAGCTCTTGCTCTGGATGCTCCATCACTGGGCTGGGGCTGTGCACTGGGCAAAGCCAAGGGCATCCCAACTTCCCAATGGACCATGGAGACACAGGAAGGTTGTGGTGGGTGTGGGGATGGAGATGGAAGAGACCAGACCCATAGGAGGGGGGAAAACCCTCTTGGGGGAGCACCAGGACCAGGCATGGAAGAGCATGGAGGGAGCAGAAAGGTCAGTTTGTTGATGCTTTTGCTGTTCCCATGAGGGCCTCAAACCGGATTTGGACCCAGCCACCCAGCTCCCCAGTGGACAGTGGGGTGCTCCCAGTGTTCCCCATATCCCCAGCTCCAGCAACCCAGCCTGGGGCTGGTGAGGACCCAAATCCAAGCCATGAGGCTGGTCGTTTGGAGCCTCATGGTTTGAATTCAGGTGCTTTTGGCAAGAGGCCCCTCCTGGCCTGTGTTTCTTGGCTCTCCGTCCCTCTTGGTGTAAATCCAGCACCAGCCAAGCAGGAGAAGTGGGATGAGGGATGGGGACAGAGCCTGACACCAGCCCCTTTCTTTTCCCGAATAAAAATCACCTTTTCCTCTATTTCCAGGAGCATTTTTGACTCTTTCCCTTGATTCTTGAAGCCAAGGAAAGACCAAGCAGGGATGGAGGCACCCGGGGACATGCAGCAGATAGGGAACACAGGCAGAAAGACAGGGGCACGGGGACAGGATTGCTGGGATTAGCGATTAGGTGCACTTAAAGGAATGTTAAGCAGGGAAAGATGTTGCTGTCAATAAAAACAAGCAGGAGGCCCCGTGCTGAGGCTGTCACTGGAATCCGGGAAGTACAGCCCAGAACAACAGGATAGGAGGGGATGAGCACATGGGTTTCAATTTAGGAAAGCAGCTGCTGGGAGGGGATGGGACGTGGCTGGGCAACAGCTCCCAGGGTTCCATCCATGCCAGGGATAACCAAGGGGCTGGATCTTGGCTGGGAGAGCGGTCCCCATCCAGAGCCAGGCCACCCTTGGGATGCTGTCTGCAGGGGAGGTGATGGGAAAGGGATGGAGGGTTTGGTCACTCATTGGGAAGCTGGGTTCTCTGCAGGCAGCTCTCAGGGACTCATCTCCTGTGCCTCAGTTTCCTCGTTCATAGAACCCCAGCCTGGTTTGCATTGAAGGGACCTTAAAGCCCACCCAGTTCCAACCCATTGCCATGAACAGGGACCCCTTCCACTGGAGCAGCTTGCTCCAAGCCCCTGTGTCCAACCTGGCCTTGAGCACTGCCAGGGATGGGGCAGCCACAGCTTCTCTGGGCACCCTGTGCCAGCGCCTCAGCACCCTCACAGGGAAGAGCTTCTGCCTAAGAGCTCAGCTCAGTCTCCCCTCGGGCAGGCAGTAAAGAGGCTTCATCACCCCTTGGAGACCTGCACATTTGCTGGCTGGGGTATACAGAGAGCGGCTGCTTATGGGGTGCTGGGTGAAGGCAGCCACAGGCTGTGGGATGAGCCCAGGATAAGGGCAGCAGGAAATGAGCATCCCACCATGTGCAGGTATTTAGGAAGGGGGAAGGCTCCCATGGAGCCAGCTCCTCCTTCCTACTGAATACCTGTGGACAGACTGGGAGATGGCTTCCCTGCCCTAATCCCAGCTCGTAATTGAGGATACCTATGCTTGCCACTGCCTGGGGGAGCCTGTGGGCTGCAGGACATGGAGCTGGGAGCACTGGAGACATAATAAACCCACCCTGGAGCAGCCTGTGAAGCTATCCACGTTGATATCACTGGTCATGCCCTTGGAGCAGGGACAGTGAAGGTAAGAGAAATGATGCAAGGGGCCTCCTTGCTCTGTTTGGGACCAGTGGGACCCTGTGGAGCTTTATTTCCCCCATCCCCATTTCACCTGGAGCATCACCCCACTCCAAAGCACCTGGAACCAGTTTGCTGCTGGGAAGAGGGGCTCAGGGTTTCTTCCAGGAGGCAGCTCAGTGCCCATTGACCTCAGTGTGGAGATTTACAGCCACTGGACTCAGCAGTGGTCCCTGGCTGCTGCATCCCTGCACATCCCTTTCCCATCAGTGACGCTTGAGGCTCTTAATTTAATAGGGCTGGCACTGAGGGTTTTGGCAGGGAGGGATGGGGATGGTGGCGTTGAACGTGTCCAGTTCCCACTCTTTTAAGGTAAATGATGAACTGTAATAAATAACTCAAGCCCAGAATGATGTTTCTTTACCATCAAGGAATGAATGAGACTCGCAGCCCATTTTTGGCTGGGCCACATGAACCTTGCAGGGATTTATTTTGCTGTTCTGGCTTTTTTGAGCCAACAGCCTTAATCCCACCACTGCTGGAGGAAGCTCTTAGAACCCACAGAAAAACGTTCTTTTCTTCCCCCATCCCTATTTTGTACTCTTGTAATGTGTATTGAGAAAGCCGGATAAGCAGGGGAGAGCCTTAGGAGGGGATGTGGGGGGTGGTGGGGATGGCTGAGCCCTCAAATGGGTTTTACTGGGGAAATGGCTTCTCCCACTTTGGGCAGAGCAGGGGGGAGTTTTCCATTGCAAAACCCCATTTATCACCCACCCTAAATGCTCTGTCAGCTGGGGATGGTGTTTCTCCTTCTTCTCCAGCTCCTGGTGGAAGCTAAGGTTTAGAGCAGCATCCTGGGAATGCTGCCTGTTCCCAGCAGCTGGGCCAAAAGCAAAGGTGTAAATTCAGAGGTTGTCCATGAAAATCAACCCCAACTCTCCAGCCACTCGCTGGGTGGGATGAGGCTCCACAAAGCCACTTGGATGGGGGGCTCATCTCCCTCCCCTGGGCTGTTGAAAGCCTTTTAATGGGGGGAGGAGAGGTTCTGTGCTGGGTGCAGGGGGGTTGCTTTGGAGCTGAAAGGCAGTGCCTGTCCCTCAGCATGGCTGGTGTGTGTTCACTCCCAGTTTGCACACAGGGCCGAAGCAAGCAGGCTTGTGCCTCACTGTCCCCGTTTGGGTGCTCCTTCCCAGGGCAGGATGTGCTGCTGGGACAAAGCCTTTATCATGTAAAAGGAGGTCTTGGTGCCTTCTACAAAAGGAAGCTCCTGGAGTCAGCTGAGGACAGTGCTGGCTAACGGGGCGGGGAGGAGACCAGCATCTCGCTTGCCTATTACGGTCCCAGTACCGCTGGGCTGACACAGGGCTGCGAGCACAGCGAGGGCGCTGGCAGCGATCACAGCCCTCACGGCCCGCACCCGGACTCACCATGTGCTGGCCCTCCCCATCCTCTTCTCAAAGAGCAAGGAAGGGAAGCAATGGAGCCAGGTCACAGCTCCCCAATGGGCACCCAAAATCACCCCTTCCCCTGCTGGTCCCTCCTTCACCCAGCCTTCATTAGTGCTACGTGTTGACCTCGGCGTGCCGATGCACGCACCAGCTGCTTGGGGACCACAAACCCCTTGTTTTGCCTCTTTGACACCTGGAAAAGGACATCTCATAGAGGTGAAACAAAGCCCCAAGGACCCATGTGGTGCACAGCTCCAAGTGCTCCTTCTCCTGCATC